GGGAGGTAGGTAGGGAGGTAGGGAGGTGGAGGTAGGAAGGTAGGGAGGGAGGGAAGTAGGGAGTAGGGAGGTAGGGAGGTAGGGAGGTCGGGAAGTAGGGAGTAGGGAGGTAGGGAAGTAGGGAGGTAGGGAGGTAGGGAGAAGAGAAAAGGAGGTAAGGAGTAGGGAGGATGGATGGGGGGGGGATATTTATAATCAAACATTCAAAAAATTTCCCATTCCTGTAAATAATTCAAAAATAGGTTGAAATGTCAGTTTCTTTCCTTGATTAACAAAAACCGTGGAACAAATTTCAAGTTTAAATTAGAATTTAACGCTGTAACTCAGAGATAAAAATATATGTGTAAATGACATTAAGATCAGTTTTTTCCATTTTTAAGAACAAAATAAACCTAAAAACTATGGAGAACATTCCCGTGGTTCTACCGAGTTCCCCAATCAAAATTTAAGGCATTTCGGTCAAGGGGTTCATGAGTTATGATTGGACATACAAACAGACAAACAGAGATTACTACTTTATATAAAGAGATTAGCGCACAACTACTCTGAAAGGTTAGAGTTAGAAACTTTTGAATCTACATCACCTGAACTTGATATTAATGGTTAAAACTTGTAATTAAAAATGATGGAATCGAAGATTATGTAGACATCTAGGGATGAAATATATAATCTGTAAAGAACAGCTGCTGATCTCACAATCTGCAGAGTTACCTACAGGCTGTCCCAATAAACATGGGAATTAAATGAGGACTACTATATCGTCTTTGTTCCAACTGGGATTATTTCGTAAATATAACTTTGTAGAATCACATTTAACACCAGAAACTAGAAGTCTCGGGTTTTCCAAAATGTGGTCTACAATTTGTTTACCTTCAAGATTGACGGCGATATTAGGAAATTTGTCCAGATTCCAGTTAATCAAAAATCAACAAAACTTTTAAAATGTTTAATATCTCCGTCAATTTTAAAGATACAAAGAAGGTAGACCCCATTTTGGAAAGCTTATTAGACGTTGAATCTTTTTTTGATGCGCTTTATTTTATTTATTCATTATTGGAAATCAAAGACGATTTTTATTGGGACACCCTATTTAAAACTTAGCTAAATCTGACGAACAAGAACAAAGGACAAAAGTTACGACTTAAATATATTTGCTAATCATCCTTAGCATAATCATGTTATTTATTCTATTTAATTAGATCTAACTACCTTGTAAAAGATGTCTAGTTGATGGGCGGGTAATATACATTTGAATCTCTGACATCTTGGCCAGGGTATGGTGTAATCAACTAAAGATTATAAAACATTTAAAGCATCAATTTAATTTTCACTTTTCATGAAGATACATTTGTTGTCCTCGAACCACCTGATATTCTTTCATGAACCCAT